GTTCCTGGATGAAGTCGGCGGTTCCGGCTGTCGCAAACAGGTTGTAGCCCAGTTCGTACAGTTTCTTGATGGATGGCAGCAGCTCTTGCTTTTCCTTGAATGAGCCGATGGACAGGAGAATGTTCTTCTTTGGCAGCTGGAAGCCGGTCGAAATCAGAGACTTGAGATAGGCCTCGTACTTGTTGTGGCCGAAGCAGGCAACCTCACCGGTAGAAGCCATCTCGACACCCAGAACAGGGTCGGCGCCAGAAAGTCTCGAGAACGAGAACTGAGGCACTTTGACGGCACAGTAGTCGTCCGGCAGCTTCTCGCCAGGGTACGGCTTCACAGGAATGTCCATAATGGCCTTGGTGGCCATCTCGATCATGTCGGTGCCCACCACCTTGGAGTTGAACGGGAACGATCTCGACGCTCTCACGTTACACTCGATCACCTTGATCTCGTTGTTCTTGGCAATGAACTGGATGTTAAATGGTCCAGTCACGTCCAGAGCCTTGCCGATCTTGGAAGTAGCCTCGACGATCCGGCTCACGGTCTCCTTGTCCAGGTCCTGAGGCGGAACGATCAGTGTGGCGTCACCAGAGTGGACACCAGCGTTCTCGACGTGCTCGGCAACAACGTGCATGATCAGTTTTCCGTCCTTGGCAACGGCATCCATCTCGATCTCCTTGGCGTTCTCAATGTACTTGGTCAGAACAACAGGGTAGTCTGGAGAAACCTCGACGGCCTGCGACAGATACGACGCGAGGTCGGCCTTGGAATAGACAGTGTTCATGGCAGCACCAGACAGAACATAAGACGGTCTCACCAACACAGGATACGTGACCTTCTCGGCGAACTCCTCGGCCTCCTGGATCGAGGTGAGCTCTTTCCAGGCCGGCTGGTCGACGCCGATCTTGTCCAGCATTCTAGAGAACTTGTATCTGTTTTCGGCCGAATCGATCATTTCCGGCGAGGTGCCGAGAATCTTGACATTTTGTCTGTGCAGAGGCAGGGCAATGTTGTTGGAGGTCTGGCCACCCATGGAAATGATGATACCGGAAGACTTCTCGATCTCGTAGATGTCCAGCACTCTCTCCAGGTTGATGGTCTCGAAGTAGAGTCTGTCGGCCTCGTCGTAGTCGGTGGAGACGGTTTCCGGGTTGTAGTTGACCATGACGGTCTTGAAACCTTGCTCTCTCAGCGTTCTGATGGCTCGGACGGCGCACCAGTCGAACTCGACAGAAGAGCCGATTCTGTAGACACCAGAACCCAGCACCATCACACCGTTGTCGTTGAAGTCGACGTCGCTGGAGTCTGCGTTGTACGTCATGTACAGGTAGTTGGTGTAGGCAGGGAACTCGGCAGCGACGGTGTCGATCTGCTTGACGAACGGAACGATGCCGTGCTCTTTTCTGAGTCTTCTGATGGCCACCTCGTTGGAGTTGAGGAACTTGGCGATCTGTCTGTCCTCGAAGCCGAGCTGCTTGGCCTGCCTCAGAATCGAGGCCGGCAGCTTCTCCTTCACGCCGTATGACGCGATCTTGTCGGCATACTTGACCAGTCCCTCCAGCTTGTTCAGGAACCATCTGTCAATGTTCGTCAGCTTGTGGATCTTGTCAACCGAGTAGCCCTCGGATAGCGCGTTGGCAATGGCGAAAAGACGCTGGTCCGAAGGGGTCTGCAGCTCTGTGTCGATATCGATGGACATCAGGGCCTCCGTCTTGTTGAAACCGATGTTGTGGTAGTCCGTCGACCTGATGGCTTTCTGAATGGCCTCCTCGAACGTTCTGCCGATGCTCATCACCTCTCCGACGGATTTCATGGAGGAGGACAGCAGAGTCGACACTCTGGTGAATTTTTTCAGGTCCCATCTTGGAATCTTCACCACACAGTAGTCCAACGACGGCTCGAAGCACGAACAGGTGGACTTGGTAACAGAGTTCTTGATCTCGTTCAGCGGGATGTTCAAACCAAGCTTGGCGGCGGTGTAGGCAAGCGGATATCCGGTGGCTTTAGAGGCCAGCGCAGACGACCTGGACAGTCTGGCGTTGACTTCAATGATGCAGTATTCTTTCGAAAGCGGGTTCAGGGCGTATTGGATGTTGCACTCACCAACAACTCCCAGATGCCTGATCACGTTGACGGCAGTGGTTCTGAGCATGTTGTAGTCCTCGTCAGAAAGCGTCTGGGACGGAGCGACCACGATCGAGTCTCCGGTGTGGATGCCCAAAGGATCGAAGTTCTCCATGTTACAGACGGTGATGCAGTTGTCGAAAGCGTCACGAACAACCTCGTACTCCACCTCTTTCCAGCCCTTCATGGACTTTTCGACAAGAACCTGGGGAGACGCAGCAAAGGCCTTCTGACACAGGTCCATGAGCTCCTGCTCGTTATCGGCGAAACCAGATCCAAGACCTCCCAGAGCGTAGGCGGCTCTGACGATGACCGGGAAGCCGATTTCTTTCACGGCGGCGAGCGCCTCCTCAATGGAAGACGCGGTCTGAGACTTGGCGCACTTCTCGCCAATCTCGTCCATGGACCGCGCAAACAACTCTCTGTCCTCTGTGGTGATGATGGTATCGATCGGCGTGCCAAGAACTTTGACCCCGAGCGACTCGAACTCGTCCTTCAGCTGGATACCAACATTCAGGGCGGTTTGGCCACCAAACGTGCAGTAGATGGCATCCGGCCGCTCGTGCTTGATGACTTTCCTCACAAACTCCGGCGTGACGGGCAGGAAGTACACCTTGTCTGCGAGACCCTTGGAGGTCTGGATGGTGGCAATGTTTGGATTGATCAGGATGGTGTATATTCCCTCCTCTTTCAAGGCCTTGATGGCCTGCGAGCCAGAATAGTCGAACTCTCCGGCTTGTCCAATGGACAAGCCACCGGAACCAAGAACCAGCACTTTCTTGGCATTGATGCGTGGATGCAGAGCTTTGTTTTCGTCGGTCTTTCCGCCAGGGAACTCCACAGCCTTGAGTTTCTGGGAGCTCTTGAACTCGATGACGGTCTGGATGAATGTGTCAAACAGGAATTCTGTGTCTCTTGGGCCAGGAGTGGACTCGGGGTGGAACTGGACCGAGAAAAACGGCTTTTCTGTGTGGTATATACCCTCGTTCGAGCCGTCGTTGGCGTTGACAAACAGCTCCTTCCAACCGGGAGCAAGCGTGTTGACGTCGACAGCGTACCCGTGGTTCTGCGACGTGATGTAGCACTTGCCGGAAATGGTGGACGTGCACGGAATATTGTGGCCTCTGTTACCGAATTTCAGCTTCAAAGTCGATGCGCCCGAGGCTCTGGCCATCAGCTGGTGGCCGAGACAGATACCGAATATCGGCGTTTTGGCCTCCTCGAGACACTTTCTCAGTTTCTCAACAACGTCGGTCATGACAGATGGATCACCAGGACCGTTGGAGATGAACAACCCGTCGTACTCCTCCTTCGTGAAGTCGTAGTCCCATGGCACGACCTTGAGCGAGATGCCGCGGTTGACAAAGCATCGGATCTGGTTGTATTTCATACCCACGTCCACGGCGACGATTCTGATCACCTTGCCGTCAGGACCCAATCTGGCCACCTTCGCAGGCGGATCGTAAACGACGGGCTCCTTGGTGGAAACAACAGCAACCAGGTTCTGTGTGTTGGGATCCACCCACTCAGGAACAACGAAATTGTCCTTCCAGGTCTGCGGGTTCATGCAGTCGGCAACGTTCGTGCCTGGCTTCTGCAAACACAGTCTACCGAGGGTGGAACCGTCTTCTCTAAGCTTCTTGGTCAAAGCCCTTGTGTCGACACCGTAAATCGCAGGAACGCCCTCGCTCTTCAACCATTGGCCGAGAGAGGACTTGGCAAGGTAGTGAGAATACTCCTCAGTGTAATGAGCGACAACCAGACCGGCGACATGGATTCTGTTGGACTCAAAGTACTTTGGCAGCTTTTCGACAACATCGTCCATTAATTGGCGGTCTGGAACACCGTAATTACCCACCAAAGGGTAGGTAATTACAAGGATCTGACCCTCGTACGAAGGATCGGTGATCGACTCTGGATATCCCACCATACCGGTCTGGAAGACGAGTTCACCAGCAACTGCCTTCTCAGCACCAAAGGAATATCCTTGCAGGGCAACACCATCCTGGGTCTCCAGGGTGATGAGAGTGTCTCCAGTACTCTCCATTGGGGGAGAGATAGGATTGGAAAACTTCACAGACATGGTAAAAAAATATTTTTTCTATAATAGAGGTTAATATAGGTCCTTGTCTACGAGAGGGCTACGAGTCCTCTCCTTAACTCACGCACTTTAAGTCCCTTTTCAAGCTCTGTAGCCAATAAGAATGTACAAGTGTTGGGATGGCAGCAATCAAAATCCAATTGGGGATTGATGGGAGCTGAAAGAAGGTCTTTGTCTATGAGAAGGAGAAGAAGAAGGGAAAAAGAAGATCCTGAGGAAGCTATACAATTTAAAAATAAAAAAATTTTCAGAAAAAGAAATAGGTCGTGCGACGCCGAAGATGCAGATGCGATGATTCAGGCCAGTTGGAGAGCGGAAAAACAAGCGGGAAGCCAGCGTGGCTTCCTTAACTGCATATCAGTAATGGCTTCCTGTTTCGTCACTTTCTCCGATGTTTTTGACAGGGTTTTCCCATTGATCAGATATTTTTTCAGCATGCACGTCTCGTTACGTAGCATGCAGACTGCAGAAAAAATGAAAAACTGAATGGACGAGTTGGGAGTCGAACCCAAGACCTTTCGCATGCTAAGCGAACGCGCTACCAACTACGCCACACGCCCAAGAATACTGCGAATTGGCAGGAGGTTCCTTATTCGGAGCTGCTCTTCGTGACCAGGCGTCGCCTAAAAAATAGAAGAGAAATTGCCAATTCCGATACCGGGAGTCGAACCCGGGTCTGCCCGGTGAAAGCGGACCATGATAGCCGTTACACTATATCGGATAGTTACACAGTGGAGCACGCTGTCAGGCAATACATTGAGGGCCCCGCTGTGGATCTTTCGTATTAACGGTAATAGTTACGTGGCGGTAACGTTGGCGATGGGGTCCTCCTATTTGGAGAAGAAACGGTGGCCCCCAGGTATTGCGTGGGAGGCGGGGCATAGACTGGATGCAACGGCCGTGGTGGCTGGCCTGGAGGCTGCGCATAAGGGCGCTGGTACCGCGACCGTGCTGGCGGCGTCGAGTGCGAACGGCGTGAAGGCCTAGGTGGGCGTTGAGGCGGCCTTTGTGGGGTTGAGGGTGGGCGCTCGTCGTCTGTGAATGGCGGCTCATCCAAAAAAGACGTCTCCAAGTACGCTGGCGGATCAGCCGTCGGACGGGTGTCATTAATGGATAACGGGTCGATTGCCTGGTTATTAGGTATGCTGATTTCGCCTGGCGAAGGCACTTCCGTGTACTTTGGCGAGGGTGGCATGTTTGCAAGGACCTCCTCCTCGGAGATGAGCGAGTTTGCCGGGGAATTGGGCGTTGCAGGCCGTGAAGGGAGTGGGGGCAACGGAGGTGGCGTCTGCTCCGCTGCGGGAGGCACTATGTGGATGTCGGGCACGCTGGCGGCCGTCAAAAACGGGTTGTTAGAGTGAGACATATAACTTGAATTAGCAGCGACTCCGCCATCTTTGCACGAGAAAAAAATAACTTACACAAAATTACCTAAGCCCAGTTTTATCGTCAAATTTTTCATGTTTGGAGCAGTGAGAACGGCCCAGAAGTGCGGCGCAAACCTTCAGTTTGTGCGGACCAAGCGTATCCGCGCAGGGCTGGATCCTGCTGCGCAGCGTGTGGTCACTCAGCTCTCGGTTATATCTGCCACCAGAAAAATGCCCAAGATGCTGAAACTGTCGAGGGAAGATTTCGTCAAGCACCTCACAGTTATGAGAGCGTGGGCGGTGATGCGTAAGGAAAAGAAGCAGGCGGAGGAGGCGCAGCTAAAGCAGCAATACGAGAGCATCAAGGAGGCCAACGAGGACCTGAAACACGTGAGCCAGAAGCTGTTTGAGGCCGCTAACGAGCTGGAGATTGGCAAGCGGTTCCCGCTGGAGCTGCGCGTGCCGACCGAGTATCCGAGTAGAACTGGGTGGTTCTACGACTACATCCCACGCAAACTGTAAATAGAGCACGATATAACTATTATTACCAGACTCTCTGTACAAAATTGGTGACCCTTGGTCTGTCCGGGTTTGGAAGCAGGAACCATATGATACAGGTGCAAGCGAGCAATCCGATGATAAAGGGCATGCAAACGAAGGCACCCGCGTACTGGGACACGAGTCCCACCAAGAAGGGGAACAGGGCGCCGCCCGAGGAGCCGAAGGCAGTCATTATGGTGAGCGATATAACCTGGATTTTCCGGGGCAGGATGCGCACGGCAATGGTGATCATGAGCGGGTAGATCGGGCCGATGAAGATGCCCGCAAACGACACAGCCACGGCCTCGACGATGAGGATCGGGATTACCCAGCCGAGCAGCGTCGTGACAATGGCGCCCACGATCATGATGGTGACGCCGCGCTTTGCGCCAAGAAACTTGTGGATGTTGGTGGTGAGGAATAACCGGCCGATCGTAAGACCGCCCCAAAATCCGGACGAGACATAACCGGTGCTCGAGGCCTCGCCTCCACGGTACACCTCCAGGAACGTGACGACCCAGCCCCCCATCGAGACCTCTGCGCCCTGGTAGAACAGCACAAAGAACGCCAGCAGCCATGTACGGGGATTTTTTAGCGACACCTTTAGGACGCTTTCCTCCTTCGGCTCCTGAGCCCCCTCGTGCTGCCGCAGCGTCTCTGTGAACCCGAGCGTCTCCTCCAACATCGTGTATTTGCCGTCATCCTCGCCCGGGCTCTCTGGGGTAGGGGTGTGCGACTTTGGCTCCCAGTTATCCCACGGTTTCAGATCGTCGTCAGCCCCTTTGAATGCGAACCACATGTTCCAGAAGTTGAACACGGACATGCCCAGCAGGATGAGGTAGAACAGATGCCACTTCACGCCGCTGTCGATCATGGCCGTGGCGATCAAGGGGCCCACGCACGCCCCGAGCCCGTAGCCACCGTGGAAATAACCCAGATACTGCGAAGACCTCTCAAACTTGGACAGGAAGATATTCTGCTGCGACAGGCACGTAGCGAGTCCAAGGCCGCCGAAAAAGAAGCCCGCCACGACGAGGGGGAACTTGTAGCCCGGGCTCACTAGCGTGTACATGACCACCAGCGCCAGACACCCGCCCGACGTCATTTTGCGCTTGCCCAGCAGGGGCTCCATCTTGGGGCAGATCACCGCGATGATGATGAACCCGATAGCGTTGGCCAGCCAGATCAGCGACACCACCGCGTAGCTGATGTTGTAGTACTTCTCGATGGTGGGCAGCAATGCTCCTGGGGCTGCGTCGGAGAGTCCAGCAGACACGGCCCACAGCACCACAGAGACCACGCGCCACTTGTTGCGTGGCGGGTTGTCCAGCGTCATTCCACCCTCCACCTTGTGGCTGGCGCCCCCCAACCTGCCGGACTCAGCAGACGTCGACAGCGGCTGCTGCGCGGGAGGAATCGGAGGCCGCGCAGCAAGAACACCCTTGCTGGAGGCCAGGTCGAAGTACGAGCTCGTGCCGGCGCCATCAAAGTACGAGTTTGTGTTCAGATCATACCCCGGCGTCGTGGGCAGCGATTCAGGCACCACAGGGAGGATGTTTGCGGAGTCAGTCAAGGGAGCGACGCTGTTGTGTGGCATCGACGTCGACGTTCTGCGGTGGACGGTGCCCTGCTCCGAGCCGTGCGAGCCCTCTTTGCCCTTGAGTTTCGTCAGTTCGTTCCCATTCATAGCGTCAGTGGAAACAGCGAGCAAAAGACAAGAAGAACAACTGGGAGACGGGAAGAAATGATTAGAAATCTATAAAAAATTTGCGGCTGGTTGCCAAATCGGGAAATGCCCCGAATCCGGGGAAATTTAGAGGGACGTGGAGTTTACAGGTCGATGAGATTTCCCGGAATTGCGCGCGGGCTCGACCTGGACTCGGGCGAGCTCGAGCTTTGCGACGGCGTGGTTGTGTGGAACTCGCCGAAAGTCTCGCTGACATTCGAGCGCGCGTCTGAGTCCTCCTCTGCCTGGTCTATTATGTCCTGCAGGCTTGAGCCGTCCGCTGCACCTGCGCCTATCTCGCCGTAATCGACTTCGCGGTCCTCCTCATCGCTGTCCTCGCGCCGCTGCAGCTGCTCCCTGAACTCGCTGATTAGGTCGGCGTCGTCTGCCGTTTGCGCCGGCTGAACAATCTTGTCGTGCGAAAGGTTGTCTGCGGCAATTTTGCTCTTCTCCCCGAAAAGTCGTCCAAACAGCGTCCTCTCCTTTTTCTGGGGCACGGCAGCCACAGACCGGTACTTGAGAGCCTCCTGCTCTCTGCGCTGCCGTTCCTCGCGGATCCGCTTCTCTCGCTCGTGTCGCTCCTTCTCCAGCTTCTGTTTCTGCTGCCGCTGCGCCTCCAGCCGGCGGTCTATTATGGCGCGGCTCTCTGCGGCCGCCGTGCGCAGCAGCTTGGAGTTGATTTGCTGTGTCTTCTTCGCCGGCTTCGCGGTCTCCCTGGTGCTCGACCAGCTGAAAAGATTCGTCACGCCGGCCTTTGTCGCCACACGCTTCTCCACGCTCGTCCACAGCGCCGCCACAGCCTCCACGCGGCGGTGAGTTTCTGTCTCCAAATGTGCCGCGCGGCCCCGGTAGCTTATCTGCTGCTGATGCTGTCGCTGCCACTGTCGCTCCGCAGCAACAAGCCGTAAGTACTTCCCCGTCCAGTCTCCCTCAAACTTCATCGTCGCGTCGTCGCCCGTCCCGCGTCCCAGCCGCGACAGACAGCTGTAGTCCACCGCGGGTCGGTCGACTTCCACTTCCTCGAACTCGCCAAAATCGCCAAAATCGTCTTCGAGGGCCTCGTCGCTCTCATCGGCGACATTGTCGTCAGTCCCGCTCGCGCGCCCGCTCTCGCCTTTCTGGCTCTTGCTGTCCGGTGTTTTCTCTCCCTCCCTGTCCCCCACGCAAACTTCCTCCCATGGGTTTTCTGCAAATTCCATATCTTTTTTTTTTTTTATTCATGTTTGAATTATTCACGTTCCCCCAGTTCCCGCAAAACCCTGTCTTTGCGGCCTATTTCACCAACGTGAGCAACCAGAATCACATCCGCGACAGGCTTCTCGCCGCAGATCCAGCCTACAACTACGCTTTTGTCAACGGAGACTACCTGCTCACCCTAGAACAAGTGCTCTCGGCGGTCTACAAGACTCTCCTGGACGACTCTTTTGACCGCAAAAAGTCAAAGTCGATCAACACCGAGATCATCTACAATCTGTCGCCGCTGAAGAACATTCTGGAGTGCTTAAAGACGTTTGGCGTCACCGACAGCCCGCAGTTGCTGGTGATCAGAATTCTAGACAAAGAGGATCCAGAGACGGTTTTCAGCCAGCTCCAGCAGCTAGTCGAGGGGACCCCCACACAACTGTCCGACGAGACACTCCAAGCCCACGCAGACGTTGCCAGGGTGCGCAAGCTCTTCAAGACCCAGGAATCGGATCTAGCCAGACTCTCCAGAACACTCGTCGCAAGCACTCACCTGAAGACTCTATGATGCTGCGCCACGTGCTGCGCCGCGTCTTTCCTGTCGGAGTATTCATCTACCTGCTCTACATCCAATACGCCTACTGCTACGTGGTGTGCAAGACAAATATCTACGACTCGGGCCGTCATTCCGCTGGCGTGGGGCTGATTGTCGGGGAAGTGGTGCTCGCGGCGCTGGTTCTGGCGTCGTGGGCGCTCATCTTCGCCGCTGGCCCCGGCTCGCTCCCTGTGGCGGTGCCGCCCTACAACCTGAGCAGCTACTACGCCAACGGACAGCTGTATGTGCGCGGCGAGCTGGATGAGAAATCGCCGTCGGTCGTGGACGACGCGGCGCTGATCGCGCCGCCGCAGATGTTTCTGTGCAACGCTGACGGCTTGCCCTTCTGGTGTGCACAGTGCCGTTCGATCAAGACGCTGCGTGCGCACCATTCCTCCACACGGGGCTGCTGCATCCCGCGGTTCGACCACTACTGCCTCTACATCGGCACAATCGTGGCGCAGAACAACTACGTGTGGTTCCTGTGCTTTGTGACGTGCTTCGAGCTGCTCTTTTTCTACATTTTGGCCTCGACGTTTGCATTTTCCAAGGCTGTGCTCAGCTACGGCCCGCACCAGATCCTGCACCCGGCCGCGCTGCTCATGATCGTCGTCAACGAGCTGTTCACGCTGCTGCTGCTGACGCTGAACATGTCAATCGGCCGCATTTTTGAGCTCAACGAGACCAGCATCGACTTTCTGCAGCTCAGCAGGGCCCGGCAGTACAGATATACGCTTGGCTCGCGCCACTCGAGGCTGAAGAACATTCTATTTCGTCGCAAAATTACCCAGGAGGAGGCCCGCGCAGGGCTCGTCAACGCCCAGCGGTACGTCAGCGTCGAGCACCCGGACGCGCACAACGTGCGTGTCGTGCTGCCGGTGCCAGAAACAGTCCATCCTTACAACAAGGGGTACTTAGAAAATGTTCAGGACTGGTTCAGAAGCCGCAAGTTCACCACTGCCGAGCAGGTTGTTGCGTATGAGTACGAAATGTTCTCACCGCAATTTAGGGCCTGGGTCCTCCAGCAAATCCGCGCCGGCAAGGGCCAGATTTTCGGCAGCACCCCGCTCACCCCTGTGGCGGTCTAGGCCATGTTTGCATACGACTTTATCAGATCTCTCTCAATCGAGAGCGTCTCGTGGCGGTACTCCATGCGGATGTCCGGCACGTTGGTCTTCTCGATGTCGTTGCCGTCTCTGCCCGGCTGGTCGAAGTCTGCGCCGAGCCAATGGCGTTTCAGCCGGTACTCGAACCCGCTCATGAACACCGAGTTGCGCGCAAGCTCCGACATGTCCACGTTCGAGAGCTTGTAGATCTGCGCAGCGACAGAGTACTCCTCGATCAGCGGCTCCCTGGTGTACGAGAACTGCAGCGGGTCGTCTGTCGACAGCGAGACGTTGAGACCGCGGCGGAAGTAGCTCGGGAACGGGTTCTTGTCGTAGGTCAGGAACAGCGCGTTGTTGGACAGCGGCGACATCGCCACGCCGATCTGGCACAGATAGTACAGGTACTGGATGTATGGCAGTTTCCGCAGCAGGATGCCGTGCGAGATGCCCTCGGCGGCCAAATACGCCGCAATCAGGTGCTCCGGGTCGCCGGCCTCGCCAGAGTGCGGCCGCAGCACAAAGGTGTTGAACCCGCGGCGCGCTCTCCACTGGTTCAGCGACGCAATGTTCGCGTAGAGCGAATAGATATAGTACGAGTACGGCGGGTTGTTTGCCGAGTCCCAGTTGCGTGGGTACGGGAACTTGCGGTGGAACCGCCTGTCGGCCTTGCTCTCGTCGTCGACGGAGTCGAAACCAATCACACGCTGCAGAAACACAAACAGTTTCGGGTGCGACGAGGGGTCCTTGGTCACCTCGAACAACGGCCTGAAGACGTTGAGCACCAGGTCCTGGTAGTTGTCCACGATGCCGCCGTTCTTGTACACGTCGTACAGCCGCGGGATCTGGATCAGCCACCGCACGTTGTGCGAGAACAGCTTGTGGTCCACCACCCAGGCCGCTAGCTTGTCCCACTCGTCTGCCGACCGGCCGTATATCGAGATCCGGTACTCGGCCATTTGGTACTTGGAGCTCTCCAGATCGTCAAACACCTCTCTGGTCAGCTCGGCCAGATACCGGCCCTTGATGTAGTTGTCTGTCTTGAGAAAGATCTCTCTGAGCCGCGACTCGCCGATCGGGTTGTACTTGAGGTTGAACTTGTCGAACCGGTGGAAAGTGTCTCTGTGCGCGTGCATGTCCAGCGTGTCTATACTCAGGTCGTACGCCGTCAGGTTCAGCGACTCAAACACCTGCTGCAGCGTGAGCACCTGGCCGTCTCTAATGATGACCTTTTCGTCCGGACATTTGCGCATCTTGTACTTGATGAACCGCAGCAGGTGTTTCTGGTTCATACAGGCCGAGTGGTGCACGTGGGTGTCCACCTTCCGCACGTTGTAGAAGTCTCTGTGCGGGTTCCGCTTGCTCTCGGACGTCTCGTCGTGCTCATTCAGCAGGTAATACAGGTTCCATTTCGCTTCGAGGTACTCCAGCCGTTTGAACGCAAACGACTTGGTCGGCCCGTCCGACGCAATCGCCGTGATCTGCTCGAGGTCGATGTAGTAGTCGCGCATCGTCGGGATCTGGACGATCTTGTTCCCGCTCTTCTTCTCCACCACCTGGAAAACGTCCTCGTCGTCCAGCACGTAGTCCAGCTCGGGGTCTGGGCCCGGAATGTCCACCTTGGCAATGTCGAAATTCTCAGCCAGTTGGTCGCCCTGGTCCGGGTTCCGCTCGATGCTGTACTTGTCGCCCTTCTTCCAGAACGGCGGTGGCGGGTTCGGGTAGATGCGCCACTCAGGCTTGTTTTTCGGGTTGTCCTGCGGCCGCTGCAGAGACAGTCTCTGGTACTTTTCGCGTATCTGCATACACCTCTCGATGTTCTTGTAGATCTCGATCAGTTCCTTGGACGGCGCCTCAATCAGCGAGTTGTGGTCGTTCAGCAGCAAGCTGCCCATCCGTGCCTTGGCCTTGAACAAGTCGCGGTCAGACGACCCCATCGGGCTCATCTCGTGCGTGATGGGGTTGTACGCAAACTTGCTGCCGCTCATTGGCGACGCGTGCTCAAGCCCCGCCGGCCGCGCAGAGTGCACGGACGATGAGCGCGAGTTTTTCGGCGACGTGGCAATCGAGTGGAAAGCCTTCACCTTGGCGTCCTGGTCCCTGAGCATCTTGTCCTCGGTGTACGAGTAGTGCACCGTCGACGGATCCTGGTCGCCCGTGTACACGTAGTCGTCGTCGGGCGTGTCGACGGCACTCGACACGCCGGACGACACCACAGGCGACAGGGTGTGCGAGATATCGACCGGGTGGGACATAAACAGCGATAAGGCTACTTTTTAGACTGACTTTTTTTACTATTTTCAGTGTGTGGTGCACGGGTGTCTTCTCTCACGGCCTCAGTCTCTTGGGGTCTCTTGGGAACAGGCTGGCTCTGCGGATGTTCTTGAGGTCCAGGAAGAACATCAGCACCCGCTCGAGGCCAATTCCTCCGCCCGCGTGCGGAACACAGCCGTACGTGAACGCCTGGATGTAGTCCGACAGACCAGGCGTCGTGGTGTCCACGTCGTGGGCCTTGATCCGCTCCGCAAGCAGCACCGGGTCGTGGATCCGCTGCGCGCCCGAGAGGATCTCCTCGCCGCGCATGAAGAAGTCGTACGAGTTCGAGTAGTTGCTGTTCTCCGGGTCTGGCATCGTGTAGAACGGTCTCACAGCGAGCGGGAACTTGTCGAGGACGTAGAAGTCTGTGTCGTACTTGTCTCTCACCAGCTTGCCGAGCAGCTTCTCGTTCTCGGTGCTCAGGTCGTCGTAGTCGCCGAGCTCTCTGCCGGCGTCTCTCAGCATCTGGATGCCCTCCTTGTAGTGCAGCTTGACCATCTTGCCGTCCTTGGGCAGCTTGAACTCCTCCACGGGGAACTGTCTTCTCACCGTGGCGATCTCCTTGGCGTATCTCTTCTTGAGCTCGCTGAAAATGAACACAAACATCTCCGACAGCAGGTCGACGACCTCGTGGTAGTCCTCCTCGATCGCCATCTCCAGGTCCAGACCGACGAACTCGGTCATGTGACGGTGCGTGTTGGAGTTCTCTGCTCTGAAGACGGGAGCAATCTCGAACACGCGCTCAAAGTCGGCAGCAATCAGCTGCTGCTTGTAGAACTGCGGAGACTGCGCCAGAAACGCGCTGCCTTTGAAGTAGTCGACCTTGAAAACGTTGGCGCCACCCTCCGACGCAGCAGCAATCAGCTTGGGCGTGTGCGTCTCCACGAAATTCCGCTCAAGCAAGAACTCCTTGAACAGCTGGCAGATGCCGGACTGCAGCCGGAAAATCGCCTGGTTCGTGACCGTTCTCAGATCGATCACGCGCGAGTCCAGCCGCGTGTCGAGGTTGACCACAGGAAGCCCAGACGCCTCGGCCTCGGCCTCGGACCGCGAGGCGTCCTCGATCAGCAGCGGCAGCTGGGCTGGCGTCTCGGAGATGGTGTAGATCTTCGAAATCGAGATCTCCACGTCCTGGATCGTGGCGCTTTTCACCAGCTCGTCCACCTTCTTCACCACACCGTGGACAAGAACAATCGACTCGAGACTCAGCGAGGCCGCCCATTTCACCATCTGCTTCGACACAGAGTCGCCGTTGGCCTTGATCAGGCCCTGGATCAGCTCGTCCTGCTGTCTGAACAGGAAAAAACTCATTGTGGCGCCCTGCTGTCTGGAATTGTGCACTCTTGCTCTGAAAACGACCTTCTTGCCGTCGTCCTGAGGGGTCAGGGTTTTGAACTGGATTCGAGGGATGCCCGTCTTGTGGTTGGACTGCATCAATGGCAGCTTGCCGTAGTTGTCTTTCGCAGTGTCGCTGGCGGCGTCGGCAGCAGCCTTGGCGGCCTGTTCCTGGGCAATGCGCGCGGCGGTCTCTGCCTTCTTTCTCTCTTTCTCGCGCTCCTTTTCGAGCTTCTTGAGCGCCTTTTTCGACAGCGGCTGGCCGTCAGGACCCAACACAGTTTCCTGTCCGGCTTTTGCGCCTGGCTGCGTCTCCAAACTCAGTTTCTCGACTTTGTCTTCAAGACTCATTGGAGAAATAAAATTATTTCAAAATTTTCCGTAGATGAGTAAATTTTTCGACTCTATACACTTTATTAGTAGCCCGCCAAATAAATATCCCCCTAATCACAGCTCGGTGTTCTCCAGGAAGAAGTAGTTGCCGCTCAGCTTCTGCTCCTTGTCCATCTGGGAGTCCAGCTTGTTAATTCGAGGTCTGAACGAGTTAGGGTCTCTTCTGAATGTCACGTTCAGGTTCTTGAGGAACCGGTTGCAACCAGTCAGCAGCGACTCGGCCTTTCTCGCGGTGGCGGCCTTCGACGGCACACCCTCAAACACCATCACCTTGTCGGCCATGTACGTGGCCATGATAAAGTCGTGCTCGACGATAAAAGCGGTTTTCTTCGAGTGAATGATAAATCTTCTGATCACCTTGGAGCAGATGATACGCTGCTCCGAGTCCAGGTAGGCGGAAGGCTCGTCGATAAGGTAGATGTCGGCGTCCATGCCGAGCGCAAGCACAATGGCGACTCTTTGCAGCTCACCTCCCGACAGGTGCTGCACCTCCTGGTCGATGATGTCTTCGATTTTGAGTGGCTTCACCACGTCAGTGTTGAACTGCGGATGCAGGAACGAGGCTCTGATCTTCTTCAAAAACAGCTGTCTCACAGTTCCGGTGAACTTCGGAGCGATCTTTTGCGGTTTCATCGAAACGTTCAGCTTTGGCGCCTTGCTTCCCTCGTCTGGCGTGATGGCTCCCGCGAGAAGCTTACAGAGTGTCGTTTTTCCGGTACCGTTCTCCCCCATCATCACGATGATCTCGC